CCCCAAACCCCCCCCCCCCCCCCTCTCTCTCCCCCCCACGGGCGCAAACTTAGAAAGTTTTCAGCGGCCACTTGTACAATTTTGTTCCAAGGCTTCAACAAGAAATATTACCAAATTCCTCAGATACATAAGAAAGTTATCAAGGCGTAGAGAAAAGAACAAGCAGCTTTTCTTTCCCTTTCTGGAAATTGAATGCAGAAAAATTGACACAGGGTTGGACAAGTAACCCAAACATCTTCAAAAAGGGTTAACCACAAGAATTTACAAGCAAGAACTGTCTATTACGGGCAGAAAATGGAGGAAAACCCACTAGTTACATCCAAAAATCAGCCTGTCATTTTGTGTGAAAAAATCAGATACTTCCATAAAATCGTTTGCATTCAAGTGTTATTAATTTCAAGACATGAATATAAGGATTCTTCAAATTGAATCGATACTCCTTTATCTCACGCACAAAGATATATATTATCTCACTCCATTATTCAATTACCAAGAGTCCAGATAGAACTGATAGTAATAAGTTTTTCCTTCTGAACTTATGTTGCTCATATCTGTAAAATTATTCAACATCATAGAAGATGATAGGTTCAGTATATTGAGAGTTTAATAACATGCTAAGTACACAAAGAACTAGTGCCTAATAGAAGAAGAAACGGACAACTCACTCCTACAAGATAGAAACTTCAGAACAAAGCAAAAAGTATTCGAAATAGCAATTTTTTTCCAGATAGAAAAATGAATCGCAAATGAAGCATTAATATTAAACCAAACATAAACATCAAAATGAACCAAACCAACCAATAGCACTTCCTAAAATTTATGACATCTTACCAGGAAGAGAAGGAAATACTTGTAGTTCAAAGCTCCAACACAATTGACAACCCACACACAATGATGGTCCATTTTGAGCACGCACCTTTCACCTGAAAAGGTAGTTCAACAACAACTATTCCTCTTAAAAGCAATTAGAGAATGCCGTGAATACTCGTGATAGTAATGTAAGGAGTAACTCACAAACAGAACAGTGATGGCACCGAGGTGGTTTTAAGTTGTTGCACTTTCTACAAAATCGAATTCTTCCGTAATCTGAATCCACTGGAAATTCCGCTGAGGTCAATGGGTCAGTGTCCCCTCTTTCTTCGTCTAATGTTGTCCTCCAATTTGGCAGCACGCTACCCGGGTCCGTAAAAACCACAGAAAAATAACTCCATAGTAGCATCACCAACTGAATGATAAAACTACTCATTATTGAGTTCCATTCCATATTGTAGTAGATCACAAATCAATATCCCAATTTACAACTATTGAGCTTAAAGTTATTACGTAAACCATCAAATTCTAAAAATCACAATTATTTCGAGAAATAAAATAAAAATTGAAAATAATTCTTATTCTGACTAAGAACTAGAATGATCAAATTGTGACCCTTAGTAACAATGAAAACAGTAAATTTCTTAATCCATAGATTGATTACCCATCAAATCAATTAACAGCCAAATGGAGAAAGTTTAAGATTATCCAATTTTCAGCTAAATTATATGATTAATTTTAATTTAGTTCCAAAATTTAGCATACCAGAAACTTTATCTTGAAAGCAAACAAAAACAGCTGAATTTCCATATATGATAAAAAGCAGGCTTCAGCTTTAAGCTACTCTCCACCTAATCTAGATGTTTTACTAGCCACGTCAACTTATAAATAACCAAACACTCACTACACATCAGCTCAAAATGACCAAAATAACAACTGGATTTCTACAGTCAACCATCAAAATCCATCAAACAAACCAGTACAATTCAAATACGAAAATTTTCAATTGCCGATGAAATTAAGCAGTTCTTACCAGGCAGTGGAACAAGATCAGGACGACAAAAGCGACCAGCGAATCAAGCCCGCCCGCAGCTAGCCCCGGGCCGTGATTAGTGATTACGACGGCGTAATACGTCACCCCAACGACGCCGAGGACTAATAATATCATGATCGAACCCAATCCCCTCAAGGCCGTACAGAATTTGAATACATTCCATGCCATCACCGCCCCGGATCTATACATAATAAAAAAGTCACCAAATAATAATTGAACTCTTACAAAAAGAAGGGGGATTTTTTTCAGTTGTAATTTTCAGGAATGTAACTTATTTTGGTACTTCTTTTGTGAGCTGGTAAAGTTGTTAGGGTTTATGGATTCCTGTTGGACGACACGAGCATTGGCAATGTCCATAAGCACAATCCAAGGGGGAAAAGGAGGGGAATAGAAATTAGAGGGCTTTGGGCTTTAATAAACTGCAATCGACACTCTTTTATAGGCGAATCACATTACAGGTCACCCAACTTTGACTCGAGTTTCATGTTAGTCACATTTCTAGCGTTCAGGAAGGAAAACAAGCATTTGGTACAACCAAGCAAGCTATTGAGATCGTTAAGGCAATTTGGCAAGGCATTCATATAAATAAGTTATTTTTGGACATGTTTGAATTTTATTTTATTTTTGAAATTATTTTGTTCTAGTAAAAGAGCCTTTATGGTTTTATAATAAGACACTTTTACAATAAGCAAAAACACTGACAAACATGTTCTAATTGGTGTTTGTTATCACTTCAAATCAAGTGCTTGTTTCAATTTCATTATACATTGTTGAAAATGTAATGTAATAATAGGGGTGTCAATTTAACTCGTTGATTCAGACTACTCGTAACTCAGTTAGAAAAAAGTCAAGCCAACCCTGCTCGAGGCTCGGGCCGAGCCCCATTTTAGGATGTTGGCTCGAGCCCGAGCCGACAATTGAATTTAAAAAAAAAAAAAGAAAAAAAGGTGGCATGTTGCTACCTTGCGTTTTAAAGGCAGCAATTATTATAAAAATAAAAATAAAAATCGATCCTCCTCTACTCAGTTCGGCTCGATAAGGCCAAAGCGAAAACTCGGGTCGAACCTGAATTTTTTGGTCGAACAAAAGCTCGGCTCTGGCCCGAAAGAGGTTCACACCATTTTACTCGAGCCTAGCTCAATTTTTTGCTCGACTTGTTGACATCCCTATGTGATATAAATAAGTGGAGGACAATATTAGCCCCCTATTTGGTAGGAAATTACAGTCTAGATTTTAATTTAGGTTAAAATCAATATTTAATTTTAACCACATATTATATGACAGTCATAACTTTTTAACCACACATTTCATTAAATTTTATCAAAATTTAATAAAAATCAAATTTTTATCTCCATCGAATAAGGGCTTAGTATTGTACAGAGAGTCCTAAAATATGAAACTATTAAGGGAAGTGGTATGTGTACACAACGGTGTATACAAAGTATTACACCCCTCACATGGAAGATGGCCCACATACAGCAAAATATTCGTGGGCTCCCTTCATATGAGGAGGGTGTAATCTATTGCGTAATCCATGAGGTGTATATATAGGATAATCCAACTATTAATTAGGTCAATATACTAGTTGGTCAATAGTTTGTACATAATCCTAAAATTTCCTATTTTCGGATTCATAATACCTTGACCCAGTCAAGTTTTCTATTTTAGGATTCTGTACAAACAACTCATAGGCCCTGACAATACTAATAGACAAATTGAGTAGTAGTTATACGAAATGTGTGATTATTAAACTTCTATATAAAGCTCTAATTATAATGAAAAGCAAATATTGAGTGTGGAAAATTTAGGAAAAGAGTGTTGTTGCTCCTGTTTAGTTCAACTCAAGCAATGAATTAAAATTTAAATCAAATTTAATAATTAATTATTATCACATATTTTATGAGATTGACAACTTTTTAACTATACATTTCATCGATCTTTACAAAAAAGTACTAAAAATTCGATTTTTATCTCAATAAAACGTAACACCTCTGTAATAATTTGAAGTTGGTGGGTGGTCACATCATATGAGAGTGACACTCCACTTATTCTTCACAAGAATACAAGGTTATCTTCTCATTTTGTCTCTCACTAGTCTAGTAGTGACTACCACACACTGCAAAAAGTTAAAATTACAGAGCAGAGAGAGAGAGAGATGGAAGGGGAAAGCAAAGGAACAGTGTGTGTAACAGGTGGAACAGGATTTGTGGCTTCATGGCTCATTAAGAGGCTTCTTCAACAGGGTTATTCTGTCAATACCACTGTCAGGTCCAGTCCTCAAGGTTAGTATCAACATAGTCTAGTTTGTCTATAATATCTGAATTATACAAACTAATTCTTCACAGAAAAATTCCAGAAGACCCACACGGAGGTGGGTGGGATAGATATTTTTTGCAATTTTTTACCCCTAATGGGGTGCCCCATGTAAGTGTTCGATAGGGGTTATGTGAATCCCCACCTGTACGTATAGTATGGCTCATAATATCTGGATCATGTTATATATGTATAGAGGTTGACACAATCGTCTACGCAAGATTGACTCTTAAATCTCATAGAGTTTGATATTAAAAGATCATCTGCTTAAGAGGTGTGGCTCTAATTTTTTCTGGTTGATAGTGACGAATAGGATATGAGATCATCCATTTCTTTGAGAAAATAAATTAAAGGCTAAAAACCAAATATTTATTTGTAGTTTCAAAAGCCCAACAATTAGTTTTCTTATACTCGACATATCCAATCCAACTTCAAAATGGCGTTAAATGCTGATTTTATGAGAAAGTGATACTTCAATTGGATTTGAAAATTTCAAACAAAATCAAAGTAACGAATAGTGTTCCAGCAAATTTGGTGTAAAGCTGTTAAGTTGGTGTAATATATCCAATTATAATTATTTTTAATTTTGTCTTTCATTTTACACTAAAATAAAAATAAATATTTCTAAACTATTAGATTTTTCAGGAAAATAAAACATTGACCAAAAAGATTATAGATATTTTGAGATCCTTGGCCTTGAAATAAATTAGCTGTTGAGATTCTAAAAATAAAGAAAGAAACTGAATATTTTTTTTGTTGTGACATTTACTGTAATGTGTTGGGCTATTTTAATAAAATGAGTTGGAGATGGTCTTAGAGATTAATCAGTAGTCGACTCCTCAGGTGTCGGGTTGGGGGAAATTTCTGAGTTTTCAATATCGTCTAGTTTTGTTCAATACTGTAAGTTTTCTATTTGATTGTAAAACAAGATGAGCTAAACAAATCTGTTGATGCTGATATATGTATCTAAGCATCACATACTAAAAATTGTAGCATTTTACTGCAGACAGCAAGGAAAAAACTAGTTACCTCACAAGCCTTCCCGGTGCATCTGAAAGGCTACGAATTTTCCAAGCAGATCTCGACAAACCAGGCAGTTTCGACTCAGCAATTAAAGGTTGCATTGGTGTATTTCATGTTGCTCACCCCATCGATCTCACTGAAAAAGAAACTGCAGAAATGAAGATCAATAAATCCATTAGTGGCACTTTAGGCATTCTGCAGGCATGCCTCGACTCTAAGACCGTGAAACGAGTTGTTTACACGTCAAGTGCAGCCACGGTTGTGGATCACAACAAGGACTTAGATGTGGTGGACGAGAACTTGTGGACTGATGTAGATTATGTGAGACGGTCCATTGATAATAATTTTGCAGTTTCTTACATCACTGCTAAGACGTTAACAGAAAGGGCAGCTCTAGAATTCGCAGAAAAGCATTCGTTGGATCTTGTCACTGTAATTCCCACTTGGATACACGGCCCTTTCATATGTTCTCGTTTGCCTGGCTCAGTGAGCTCGTCGCTGGCTATGATCATCGGTATGTTTATAGACCTGCTTTTAATTACCTCGTCTAAAATTTTGAATTGCTAGCGAGGGGATACACTTATTTAAATTGTCTCCATGAATGGCGTAGTTAGACTTGAGCTTGCTAGCTACTTGCCTACTCGAGAGAGAGAGAGGTAAGTTTTGTCTATTTCAATCACACAAATCAGGTTTCTTTTTTATTGAGATGGAGTTTTCTTCACCTGAAATAAAAATAGTTACATTTTCATGTTACACGCGTGTTGATTCTTCGACTCACATGACAATGTTTCTTTTCTCTATATACTAAAAACATGGCGGTCCAAATCTCGCCTAGCTAGACTGCTATTACAAAAATTAGTTTCATGCTTGAGCAATCTTCTATATTTCGTTAAATCTCTTTTACTCTGTGCAGGTAACCAGAATGTGTTGAAGTATACCGAAATTATCTCTTTTGTGCATACAGATGATGTGGCCAATGCACACATCTTTCTTTTCGAGTGTCCTAATGCCAAAGGGAGGTACATTTGCTCTGCCGTGGAGATTACAGTAGACAATTTAGCTAAATTTCTTTCCACGAGGTACCCGGAATTTCAAATACGAAATGAAGAGTGAGTTTTAACACCTATCCTGGCTCTCTACTTATTCATGTGAGAAGAGTTGAGATATCTCGTCTAAAATCTCAAATTTTAATTTATATTTTAGGTTCATCTTTTTTTATTAGAAGCCTCATGCATGCACAATTTTCCTGTTTTGACGCCGCACTTGAATTCATGACTTTTACCTGCTGTAGAAAACATATTTATTTAGTTATTTAAATTTTGTCAACAATAAGAAAAGCACGAATTAAAGCCATCACTATATTTTCTTGCAGGGATTTAATAGAGAGAGGACGTAAATTATCTGGCATGTCATCAAAGAAACTCTTGGATACTGGTTTCAGGTACAAATATGGCCTTGAAGAAATGTTTGATGAAGCAATTCAATGTTGCAGAGAGAAGGGATTTCTCTAATTATAATTTATATTTGTATATGAAGTCCTATCTTTTTCCCACTTTTCGTGTCTTTTGCAGCACTCTACTTCTCTTCTTGTCCATAAACTTTCAGGATGCTATTTTGTTGTATGCCAACAATGTTTGCTAGCTTCAATGATGTGAAAAACTAGGGTTTTTCAATCTCCATCATTTCGCTGTATAATTCACTTGATCTTAAAAAAGTGGCAATGAAAGTCCACTTTAAGCGTCCCTAGAAACACATTGCATGTGTTCAAAATTCACTACCAATCATGAGATGTAAACTGGTGTTGCTAGGATCCGTTTGAGTCTCATTGTTTGTGGAAAATAGCCATTTTTTTTGTCTCCCCTTTTAAAGAGTTCTTGGGGGAAAATGATTTTTGTTGAAAATCTTCGAGAATGTCGTGCGGTAATTTACAAAAATAAATAGCAAATAAATATTCGGGCAGAATTTCGACTTACAAAAATTAGCGCAATAAACTAGAATGAATAATGGTCGAGGCAAGAGTTCGACTCTTTCTCCTTAAGACGAAAATGCCCCACACTGGTGTTGATAGTCTTCTGGCACTCGTCTCTCAAGATACAACGACCTCGATTTGTAATAGTAGCACTCCAAATTACAAGACCCGACGAACCTATTATATTTGATCTCTCGAGATCGGAGGACTAAAATGCACGAAAATAATGTTTGAGACTGAAATGCAAATATATAGAAACCGGCAGGACAGAAAGACAATATCGCAGGAGAAGGGAAGTAGAATAAATTTTCTAAAGTGAATAAAAACATGGGATCTGTGGTCTATTTATAGAAGTTGAAAGATTGTGCCCCAAAAAACAAGACAACCGAAATGTTGTGTCTTAGAACATACATAACCCATTTGGACAGACAGTTAAAATTGTCACCAACCGCCAATTTCTAAAAGAATCCACGTGTCTCGCACAGAAAATTCGGGGAAGAAAAAATAAATAATATAATAAAATATATTATTTAATTAATAAAATAATATAATTTAAAATATTATTTTACCAAAAATATATATACCAACTGGGTCAAGCCCAAGCCCACGACCCTGGCCCGTGCCGACCGATCAGGCAGCGGCAATAGCGCGCGAGTGTGGGCTTTAGCTGAATCTACTAGCATGTAGGTCATTTCCCCTCTAAAGACTAGTGATACCTCTTGGGGCCCAAATTCAAGTCCTTAACTTGAGTTATATAAAGTTGTTTCTATTCTTCTAGTTTTCTTATGTGGAATTGCCACTTTCCAATTTCCCACCAATTTTTTATTTTCAATTTATTTGAACTTCAAGTGATCATTTTTTGACTTTAATTTCTCATTCACCTTTAATTAGTTTTTAGAAATAAATACATATATTAATTCTACTCATGGAGTAGAATGCACTTGGCCAAATAAATTATTTATCAAATTAACAGGACCCACATAAATAATTGGTCAAACCAACTAATCATTCCAATTTTCCAACAATCCCCCACATAAATGAAAATTAATGTAATAAATAATGCAAACCCTAACGAGAGATTGGGCGAAAAGTTATTGCATCTGGATGGGTACCTAATGGGTTTGAACCTTCCATAGTAGTATACTATCGGATTTATTTGGCTAATCAGTGAACGTGATGTCATGAACTGTCAACTGTTATTGTAAACCAAAACAATAGCATCAACACAATAACCTTCATAATATTTTCGAATTCTCACTGTCATGTTCATTTTGGCCCTAAACAACTCTTGGATTTCATAAGTGCTTTAAAGAATTCAAACCCTTGAAACATTCTCATGTAAGGCTGTAAGCAAAAATGGTAAAATCGAAAAATCGAAAAATCGAACCGAAATCGCATTTTAGAAACTGTCGATTTGGTGCCATGTGGACCCGATCAATGAAATGATTTTGAACCAAACCAAATCGGTCAAAATGATTTGGTTTAGGTTTGAAAATTTTAATTACGGTTTAAAACAAAACTAGACTGGAAAATATATATATATATATATATATATATAAATGGAGTTTTTTGAAAATTCATCCAAATATGTAAAATTCAATAGTTTGTCATTTGTGGGTATTTTGTCAATTTCTAATTTTCTAATACATATATATTATTATTACCTAATAATCATAATTTATATCTAATAATCTCAAAATTAATATAATCTATCAAAAGATCTTTTCCTCTTTAGAATTCAGATGAACTCCAACCGACACAGTCGTGAGCCACCGCCACCATACACACTTCTTCTTCAGATTTTTTTACGCCACTTCAAAGTTGAATTGTAGTCCATTACACCAAATCGGAGAGAAAGAGATCATATACCTTTGATGATAATATTTGCTACGAATAAAGTTTTAAATCAATAATTTTTTTGAGCAAACTGAGGTAAGAATTTGAAATGAAATGCGTTTCGTAACAACATACAAACGTAAGCTTGTGTATTTGTTATGTTAAGATATTATAAATAACTGATTTATTATTGTGGTTGGTTATTCCCTTTGTCTATTCAGTAACTTTTTTTCAGATATGACGATCACGAAATCTTGTTAGATATCATTATATTTTTTGGGCCTTATATCTCGTTTAATAAACTTGTATTGTAACGCTATCATAACGTCATTAGCCTAAAAAAGGTGAACAAAAATGAAAAAAGCTATGTTTTAGTTTATTGTAATTTCACTTTGATTTAGTAGATATTTAAGTTTATAGTAGATATATTAACCCCTGTTCGAGCCATATTTTTCGTGTTATCATAATGAGAAAATTGATCGTTGGAAATGAGGCTGGGTCCCACGCAAGAAACAACAGGTCAACAATTGCGGTTGGACTTGTGGGATAATAATCCAAATTTTTATTTTTTTGTCCCAAAATTTGATTCAAACAAGGGCTTAGATTGTTTTAAATTTATTGTCAGTAAAATATAAATATATATTGAATTCAATGAATTAATATCATAAAAGTAGACAGACAAAAAAATATGGCGAAACTGACGATTTAAAATCAGACCAAACCGTTAGGTTTTGGTTTGAGTTTTTTTCAAACCGTTCAAAATGGTTTGGTTTAGGTTTGAGTTTTTCTCAAACCGGTTTAAACGGTTTTGTTTGAAAATTTGTCAAAAATCAGTCAAACCGGACCGCTTACATCCCTAATCTTATGGAAGCGACTGCATTTCACATTTATATAGGTGATTTCCTATTAAGAGTACCTACCATACTCCACTTGGATAGTTCAAGATATAGGAATCATTAAAAGCATATCTTAACCTAAAACTTTCTGTAGATAGCACTTCTCTTATCATAGGAATGGGTAGGAGTAAACTTCGAAGTGCTTTTTGAATCTTCATAACTTAGTTGTCCCACCAAGATCTTGGGATCTCCAGTCAGCAATGCTGAGTTATCATTACAAAGATCCTTACTTAGTAGGCTTTAAGCTCATTCCCCTTGATAGACAGCACATTTAATCTCTTGGTAAACCTTTTGTCAGCGGATCCGCGAGATTTTCTCTAGATTTTATATAATCTATGGAAATGACACCATTCAAGATCAATTGCTTAATTTTATTATGTCTTCGACGGATATGTCGAGACTTACCATTATACATACTACTTTGTACTCTATCGATAGCCAACTGACTAACACAATGTATACTATCTGCAAGCATAGGTTTAGGCCAACATGAAATATCCTCTAAAAAATTATGAAGCCATTCCGCTTCTTCTTCAACTTTATCTAAAGCTATGAACTCTTATTCCATCGTCGATCGAGTTATACACGTTTGTTTAGATGATTTCGAAGATAGGGTCGCACCACTGATGATAAAGATATAACCACTAGTGGATTTTGAGTCTTTTGTATTTAATATACAGTTAACACCCTTCTAATACAGTTGGATATCTTGTATAATGTAATCCAACATTTGAGGTGTATCGTAGATATCTAAGAACCCTCGTCAATGCCTTCCAATGGACATTATTTAGATTACTCGTAAATCTTCTAAGCTTGTTCACTGTATATGCTATATCCGGACCAGTGCATTAGACTACCTATTATTTGAGAGTACTCCAACTGAGATATAGGCTCACCATTATGTTTGGCCAAATGTAGACTTAAGTTTGCTGGAATTTTAACTGGACTTTTATCATATACATGAAATTTCTTAAGCACAGTCTCAATTTAATAAGATTGAGATAGAACAAGTCCCTCAAATATCTTAAAGATTTTAATTCCTAATATTACATCTATAATACTCATATCTTTCATGTCAAAATATTTTGTCAACATTTTCTTGGTAGTTATTATGATATCATGATTACTACTCATTATTAGCATGTCATCAATATAGAGACATACAATTACATATGCACTAGGTGTGGTTTTAATATAAACACATTTATCACATTCGTTAATTTTAAAGCCATTTGACAATACAGTTTTGTCAAATTTTTCATGCCACTGTTTTGGTGCTTGCTTTAATCCATATAGTGATTTAACGAGTCTGCACACATTTTTCTCCTGCCCAGGAGCAGTGAACCCCTCAAATTGTTCCATGTAAATTTCTTCATCTAACTCTCCATTTAAGAAGGTTATTTTAACGTTCATCTGATGGATCTCTATATTAGGCAATGCTGCAATTGTAATTAATACTTTAATAAACATTATTCTTGTTAACGGAGAGTGTGTGTTGAAAAAATCAAGACCTTCCTTTTGTTTGAACCCTTTAGCTACCAATCTGGCTTTATATTTATCAATTAATCCATCAGTCTTTAATTTTCTCTTGAAAATCCATTTACAACCCAACGGTTTGTTACCTGGTGGGAGATCTATCAGCTCCCATGTATGATTCTGCATAATAGAATCAATTTCACTATTTATAGCCTCTTTCCAGAATGGAGCTTCTAGACTTGACATAGCTTCATTGAATGTCCTAGGTTCATTTTCTAACAAATAAGTTAGAAAATTTGGACCAAAAGATGTAACTGTTTTTGACCTTTTATTACGTCTTAGTTTTTCATCACTTTGATGATTACCTATTGTAGTATCATAAGTTCATTTTTATGAATTAATCTCTTTCCTATCCTTACAAGGAAAAATGTCCTAAAAAAATACACAATTTCTTGCTTCAATAATAGTATTTTCATGTATGTCTGGAATGTCGGACTTATGTACGAGGAACCGATATACACTACTATTATTGGCATATCCAATGAATACACAATCAATTGTTTTTTGCCCTATTTTAACTTGTTTAGGTTTTGGTACTTCTACCTTAACTAAACACCTCCACACTTTCAAATATTTGTACGAAAGTTTATGACATTTCCATAACTCATAAGGAGTTTCGTTCTTACCTTTATGTGGTAATTTATTTAAAATGTGCTTTGCTGAGAGAATTGCTTTCCCCCACAAGTTTTGAGGTAAACCATAACTGATTAACATAGCGTTCATCATCTCTTTAAGAGTACGATTTTTGCGTTCAGCAATACCATTTGACTGAGATAAATACGGTGCTGTAGTTTGATGAATAATCATAGAAATTGAACAAAATTCTTCAAACGGTGCCTCATATTCTCCACCTCTGTCACTACGAATAACTTTTATTCGTTTGTTAAGTTGATTTTTAATCTCATTCGTGTACTGATTAAATGCTTATAAGGCCTCATCTTTGCTTCTTAGCAAATATACATAACAGTACCTAGTGCAGTCATCTATAAAAGTAATAAAATACTTTTTTCCTCCTCTAGTTTGTATGAACTTTAAGTTACATATATCACCGTGAATGAGTTCTAGAGGATTTGAGTTCCTTTCCACTGAATGAAACAGTGTTTTAGCTAATTTAGCCTCTACACATGTTTCACATCAATGATAATGATGAAATGAAATTGAAGGCAATAGATTTAAACTTACTAATTTACGTAGAGTTTTCATATTAACACGTCCTACTCTATCATGCCATAAGTTAGAGGACTCAATCAAGTAAGCAAAAGATTTATTTTTATTAATATCAAAATCACGAAGTACAGGCATTACATTTATTTTGAATAGCCCATTGGCTAAGTACCCCTTGCCCACAAACATGCCACTTTTTGGTAAGTATAAACTTATTAGACTTAAATACTAGCCTAAACCCATTTCTACTTAACAAAGCTCTGGATACCAAGTTTTTGCGAATATCAGGAACATGCAACATATCGACGAGAGTTACTTCTTTTCCTGATGTCGTCTTCAGCAATACTTTACGTAGACCAACAATTTTGGATGTTGTCGAGTTTTCCATAAATAATTGTCATCCATTGATAGGAGTGTAAGATGAAAACATCTCTTTATCAGCACAAACATGTCGAGTAGTGCCTATGTCTGCGAACCATTCTCTTCGATTGTCCACCATATTTGCTTCAAATACAACAGGTGAGAGCATTAGTTCAAACACACCGTAAGACAATTTGTCTTCCTCGGTCAAGTGTACTTGGTCCTTTTTGTTTTGCTTTTTCTGTCGGCAATATATATCATGCAAGATGACAGCAACAGTAGTTGTGGAATTGTGAAATATAATGTGTTCACGATATTTTTTCTTTATTTAACTTAATCATTTAAAGTATTTTCAGATTCATGTCGCTGCTACTGTTACTTATGGACTAAGTTGATGGCGGGAAAAAAGGGTGAAGTGGGTGAGGACAATTTTATCCTTGTTTATGGAAAAAAAAAGGTATTTTTGTATTTAATTAACGGAAAAACTGACGGAATATGGACGGAAGGACGTCCAGCGCAAAGAAAGGTTGAAAATGAGGGCAAAAATGCCAAAAAATGAAAGGTATGGACGTTTTCCACAATAGACTTGAAAGGTAGGGACGTTTTGTGCCAATTACCCTTTAATTAACGGAAAAACTAACGGAATATGGACGGAAGGACGTCCAGCGCAAAGAAAGGTTGAAATGAGGGCAAAAATGCCAAAATATGAAAGGTAGGGACGTTTTCCACAATAGACTTGAAAGGTAAGAACGTTTTGTGCCAATTACCCAAAATTAAATAAATCAAACACATTTAACCGACATTTTCATGCAAATAAGTTCTACGCAATTGAATTACCAAGAATTTATTTTTTTTCATACAAATTTCATGCTTGCAATTAAAAACACATTTAATTTTAACGTTTGATTTTTTTAAAATAAAGAGCATCTCACTTTTAATCTTGAATAATTCTAAAGATAATTATATTTTTGAAAAATATTATAAGTCATTTTATAATTTTCAATTTAATTCAATTTTTAATTTTATTCACACATTCACACGTACTACTAACTTGGAAAAGAAATTGTAATATGAAAGAAATGATTAGTGGACAATGTTATATTTTTGAAAAATATTATAAGTCATTTTATAATTTTCAATTTAATTCAATTTTTAATTTTATTCACACATTCACACGTACTACTAACTTGGAAAAGAAATTGTAATATGAAAGAAATGATTAGTGGACAATGTTAGTATTGTTAGGGATTGCAAGCTATTTTTGTATAATCCTGAAATATGAAACTATCAATTAGGTCAACACATTAGTTTGCCATTAGTCTTTACAAAATCCTAAAATATGAAATTATTAATTAGGTTAATGCATTAGTTGGTAATTACATTATGCGTTAACCTAATCTATAGTCTCCTCTTTTAGAATTCCATACAAATAGCTCGCTGGCCTTGACAATACTAATAGGCAATTAAGTAATAGTTTTGGCCCGCCCCCCGGGGCATAGTCTAGTGGTGTAAAAGACAGGAGTGAGGTTATCTCACGCCTTCCTGGCAGCCGCAGTGTGGGGGTTCGATTCCTGAAACATGGAATTGGACTCCTTGTAAGCGCAGTGTACATGCAACTCTTGTTCCCTGATCTGTTGGGGCACATCCCGCGATTTACCTCCCTCACAAAATTCTAAGGGCGGGACGGTGGGGACCCTCAAGGTTGGGATTCAACCTCTTTTTAATTAATAGTTTTGGCCCTCGTGGGTCATTCGAATTGCATGGTTATCGAATTTGAAAGCGAGATTATTCTAATTTTAATATAAATTTATAAAAAAAGGGGTGTTGTCTCAATTTGATTCAAGTTCAACGCAAAAGGTAGATGAAAATTTAAATCAAAATTAATAATTAATTATAATCACATATTTAATTAGACAAAATTTTTCAATCCTTTATTCTATTTTAATTGAAATTAATTAAAAAATGATTTTTATTTAAAGCTTTGTAATCATTTAAATTTTGGTGGGTGCTCACATTTCACGAGTGCGAGGTTCCATCTACTCTTGACAAGAGTTCAAGGTCCTGGATACATTTTTTCTATTGATGACTCCCACACATAGACGGCAAAAAGTTCAAATTATGCACCATTCACACTTGCAACATAACAAATGAAGGCTGTGCTATATATATATTTGGGCGTTGACATGCTCGATTACACACCTCATACTGCAGGGGAGCCGCACATATTTTTTGATTTGGTGCTAGCCTCCCTTCTTGTAAGGGACATGTAATCGGGCATGTCATATCCATCTATATTGAATTGTCGATACAGAAATGATAAAACCCAATTTGGTTGAATCAAATACGGGTTTTCAATAAGAAATCAAAGAAGGGAAAATACTTATTTTTTTTTTTTTTTGAGATAGTAATCAATATTAGGATTTGGCTCAGGATTGCCCATTTTTATTAATTACGGGGTTTTTCTGAATTTGAAAGTAACCACTTAGTAGGTTTTCATACCGAGGCTCAATCCAATTAAGTCCGTAGTGTCTACCAATTTCACCATATCCCCCTTCCCTTTGTTTTGAGATTAGGATTTTATTGTCATGTCATTCCTCGTGGCTTCATAGCTCATCAAGATCTTCTTCAATTAATTATAACTATATATTTGTTGGAATATAAAACTTTTGAATTACACATTTTATCGATTTTTTTCAATACCTATTAAAGATTTAATTTTTATCGAAACCAAATGCAACACCTTTGTAATAATTTGTACAATCATATTTGGTGTACAACAAGTTTTACATTTTGACATGTGATAATGCACCATTGGACAGTTTAAAAAAAAATTCTCACCGAGTCACTTGTTGACAAAACAATGATGTACAAAAAGAGCAATGCTACTCTTATAGAACCAGGGTGCTGCCAGACAACACATATACGTGGAGCCCGCACATTTTTTTTTTTTTTTAATATAGGTGGAACCCTTGCACAATGAGGGTCCTGTAAGTGATATGTGACAAAAGTCCTGTACATTGGGTATTGCACGTACAAAATGTGTATAGAGGGCGTTATCCTAATTTGAAGTTGGTGAATGGTCACATCATGTGTGGGGGAGATTCCACCTACTCTTGAAAAGAGTGCAAGGCTTTCTGTTCATTTTGTTCCTTTTACACCACACATACACTGCAAAAAGTTCATATCATAGCGCAGGGAACGCTCTACTCACACTAGCAAAATAACAAATAGAGAGAGAGAGAGAGAGATGGAAGGGGAAGGCAAAGGAACAGTATGTGTAACAGGTGGAACAGGATTTGTGGGTTCATGGCTCGTCAAGAGCCTTCTTCAACATGGTTATTCTGTCAATACCACTATCAGGTCAAATCCTCAGGGTTAGTATCAACAGTCTAGATTCTCTCTAATATTTTAATTCCAGGATTAAGCTCTAGTTTTGGTTTAATTACTAAGTTGTTAAGTCTTGTAGAATTAAGAGTTGTGGCTCGAGTCCCAAATCATCGTTTCCATATTTAAGCGGCCGCGTGGGAAATTTTTTTTTTTCCCAAGTTTCCAATATAGTCTAATGTTGTGTATCGGGCACCTATAACATTATAAGTACCTTATCAAGTATCGGCTATTTTAGCAACCATTAGCAGGGGTGGATATAAGCACGGGCTCGACCATGCTATAGCCCATGTCTGCCCTGAAAATGTCTACTTTTTTTGTTTAAAAGATAAATCTATGTATATTTGTATTGTAGTCTGTGTCCAAACTCAATGCTGGATCCACTACTGATCCATTAGCAACAAAATTATATTTAGTAAAATACGTTTCAAACATGATACGTCGCTAGACTAGTTAGCGTTGCTATTTGTGAACAGTGGGATCAAAAAATATTGATCAAGCTTTCTTAGGATTGTAGAAGAAAGACGAACTTACAAATCTTCTGCAAGTAGTTATACATTTCTATGCACCAAATACAAAAAATTGTACCCTTTTATTGCACTGCCTGCAGATAGCAAGAAAAACACAAGCTTCCTCACAAGCCTTCCCGGTGCATCAGAAAGGCTGCGAATTTTCCAAGCAAATCTCGACAAACCAGATAGTTTCAACCCAGCAATTAAAGGTTGCATTGGTGTATTTCATGTTGCTCACCCCATCGATCTCACTGACAAAGAAACTGCAGAAATGAAGATCAACAAATCCATCAGTGGCACTTTAGGCATTCTGCAGGCATGCCTGGACTCTAAGACAGTGAAACGAGTTGTTTACACTTCAAGTGCAGCCACGATTATGGGTCACAACAATGATATAGATGTAGTGGACGAGAACTCGTGGACTGATGTCGATTATTTGAGACAGTTCATTAGTCGTTTTGGAGTTTCTTACTCCATTGCCAAGACATTGACAGAAAGGGCAGCTCTAGAATTCGCAGAAAAGCATTCGTTGGATCTTGTCACTGTAATTCCCACTTGGATACACGGCCCTTTCGTATGTTCCCGTTTGCCTGGCTCAGTGAGTTCGTCACTATCTATGATCATTGGTATGTTTCACATGTTTTAAACTATCTCGTTTAAAAACTTAAACTGTGCTAGTGAGGGTATTGTATTTATTTCTTTAATTATTTCCATAAGCTGGTGTAGTTAGACTTGATCCTACTAGTTATTTTTAGCATTATACTCGAAAATATCATTACTGTTACTCTAACAAGCACGAAATATATGCTTGCATATTCGTGGAAGTTAGATATGTAATTATTGGAATAATATCGTACTCTCAGTCTCTCGTATTTTCATGTTACACGCATGTTGATTCTTCGACTTACACATGATAATTTTTCGTTTCTCCGTACACTAATAAATCAAAACATTCCAAGTCTCGTCTCGACTTCTATTCGAATGTTCAATTTCATTCTCAAGCAATCTCCTATAACTCGTTTAATTTGTGCAGAAAACAATGATGAGATGAAGTATACTGAAACTACAGCTTTTGTGCATACAGACGATGTGGCCAATGCGCACATCTTCCTTTTCGAGTATCCTAATGCCAAAGGGAGGTACATTTGCTCTGCAGTTGAGATTACAGTAGACAAGTTAGCCGAATTTCTTTCCGCGAGATACCCGGAATTTCAAATACGAAACGAAGAGTGAGTCGTAACACCTTTAACCATGACTCTCTACTTATCTTCATGTAAGAAGTGTTGAAATATTTAGTTAAAATCTTAAATTTTTACAGACGAGGCGAAGTTAATCATCTAGATATAAGACATGTTTATTTATTTATTTAAATTTTGTCTTAAAAAAAAATCGCAAATTAAAGCAATCACTATATTTTCTTGCAGGGGTTTAATAGAGAGAGGATATAAATTCACCAGCCTTTCATCAAAGAAACTCTTGGATACTGGTTTCAGATACAAATATGGCCTTGAGGAAATGTTTGATGAAGCAATTCAATGCTGCAGAGAGAAGGGAATTCTCTAATAATATTTCCAATGAACCGAATGAAGTCCTTTGTTTTCTCTTGCATGTATTTTGAAGCAATCTACTTCTCTTCTTCTGGTCCATGAAGAATTTCAGGATGTTAATTTTGGACGCCAATAATATTTTCTAGCTTCAATGATGTGAGAAATTTATCGAGTTATCGAACCATGGTGTAAAACTAGCTTGACACCCTTTGAGGTGTGAAAATCAAGGTCAATGATTTGAACAATTGTTGTTAAAATCAATTGTAAAATTGGGTGTCAAGTCAAAGAGTGTAGAAAAAGTTGTCAACTATGATGTAAGTATAGCGAAATTGGGTTGGAATATGTCTTTTTTCTTGAATGCATACCCATTACAAGTAGTACTCCAGTTACTTTTAAAACATTTTATTATGACTTGGACATGATATTTTCTTCGAGCTCGAGTGGTAACAATTCAATCGATTACATGATCATGTTTTGTGATTGTCAATAGGTCACTAGCTTGAACCGAGTTAAGCCCTTAGCCTTTGTCCGGGTTCAATTTTCTAAAATTCATTTTTCTTCAATCTCATTTTTAACCACAATTTTATGGGGTTCACGATTTTATATTTTATTAATTTTTATCAAAATTTACTAAAAAATTGATTTTTAGCCGAACTTGTTATACAATTTATAATGTTCAACTTTTTAACAGTTTTGATGACTTGTATAATTATAACAAAAGATTGACGATGAACTTTCTTCTTTTTAAATGTAGGGTATCATTTTTTTTTACTCATGCAATAGATGGAGGACAAGAACTGCAATTAGTAAAAAAAGTATACTAAAAATTGACGCCAAATTAAATTATTTTTAAAATTGAATATACAGAAATACGTACCAAAATCCCCAAATAAAATCAAAAGAAGAAATCAACTCCCGCTTCAAATCATTAGAATTTCTCAGTCCCGCTAGGGTTTACGCATAGAGGTAGCCGAAAAAGACAGAATCATTTATACATATAAAGAGCAACCGGCAATCAAAATCTTTCCGACTTCAAGAAATGGCTTTCTGGGGTCAGTTCTCTCACCTATCCCACGGTTAATACGCATGTCAATACTTAGTTTCAACTTCTAAATTGTATGATTTTGGATTTTTAATCATATTTTTTGTTATCGATTGATCGAAGGAGGTTTTCTTGGCTACGTTTGTGTTTCTTTTTTTGATTCCGTAATGATTTTTATTTATTTTTTTGGTTACATGTCAGGAACGGAAGTAAAACCTGGGAAGCCGGTGACTCATTCTTCTGGAACTGCTGGAGGAAGGCTCCGGATTTCTCAGGTAAATGGGAGAATAGAAGTCCTTTTCAGTTTTGAACTCTAACTTAACTTCGTTACTGAATAGGGCATATTTATCGTTTATCATTCTTTATGTATTGTTCTACGTATATGGTTAAATTTTTGTTGTAGATGATATATTTCACGTTTAATTGGAAGAATTTTCTGTAATTAAAAGTTGAAGGTATGAATAAAGATGATAATGCCTATATGCTATGCTGTTACTTGAAATTTGAATTTATTAATTGCTAGATTTTGGCTTAATTTGTTTTTAATTTGGGGTTCATTTTTAGTTAAATTTTGAATTAAGGTTGTGATGTTGTATATCGATTGACTGTTTAGGCAACATTGGGAATTGGTGACGCCACAAAAACAAGTTTAGTTCAATGTAATGTGGGCAATAAGAGTCCAGTTTTGCTCTGCGCATTACTGCCCAATAAAACGGAGTCATGCCATTTGGATTTGGAATTCGAGGAGGCTGTTGATGTTGTTTTTTCTGTGATTGGTCCGCGAAGTGTTTACCTAACTGGTTATTATGTCAATCACAGTCGGCATTTCAATCCACACAGTGATTCGTATCCTTTTTTCTGTCTAAATCTCTTCGTGTTCAATGTAGTATTCATTTTGTTTAGGTTTAATGTTCTGTCATTCAGTATTTCAGGGATGTGAATTATTGCATACCTCCCGACATCTCATATATGCCCCGCTAAGGCCAAACAAAAATGTTCAATATTTTTATCTTAATTGCATTGGCTAATTTAGAATTAAAAATCCTCATTCATTGTCTTTAACATGATTTTTAGTCCATAGATTTTCAGCTTTCCTTTATTGACACAATAGAGAATCCTTTGGGGTGGACATTGAGCATACTGGGACTGAGGGATCCAATCACTGCAGTGATGATGATAAATACGAGGATAGTTTCATTGACGATGGTGAATTACGAGATTTATCTCCCTCTCACATTTCAGATAGCGATGGTATCTTTCACATATTATAAACTTTTTCTTTATGCTCTTCTATATAACTTTGCACTCCTCAATAGATGCCTATGGTGTATACTTTAAATGCTATGATTTCAGGCCAAGATATTTGAGGTCATTGCATGTCAGGGCACTGTTCATAAATTTATTGAGGCACAATTTGACACTATATTAATCCATTTCATATTTATTGTTATCATCCGCAATAATCATATAAATGTATTCTGAGGATTCAGTTTCTGTTTGGAACTTGTGTTTTGATTCAAGAAATCAAGGAGACAATGCTGGAACATGGAAAGCCCAAGGGTAATGAAAGAAGTTTTAAACGACATAAGAAGAAATATCAAGTTATTGAGTCAGACGATGATGCTAATCCACATGAAAGTGAAGATGAAGATAGCTACCTTTTATCTGTATTTAGAAATAGAAGAGCTGCACAGACGACTAAATCAGAAGCTGGAGAGAAGACTGGTAAGGGAACAGTTGAAACCAGTGATAAATTGGAGGATGGTGGCACTTCTGGCAGTGTATCAAAGGGAAAGCCTGATGATCTAGATGTAGTTGGTGAACCAGAAAGGTAACGGTGCATGTGATCATAGCCAATGCCTGCTTTTCTACACAATCATAACCTTTTCAATTATTTTCCTGTTTTAAACATGATTTTTATTTCTATTTCATCTACAGCCAACTTCCTCTATACGACCATACTTGTAAATATGTGCATCGTTTTTGGGAGCAAACTTATCTACTTGCTGTCTTTAAGAACTTAATACAAAGAAGTTGAATATTTTTCTTTTGCAATTTTTCAAACACATTTTCTCAAATATAACCATAAAGATGATCTTTGTTGCATATTTTCAGAGAGGCAAAGCTACCTCATAACACAGTGCTTCCTTCCAATGGCCAGGATCCCATTATGGATAATGGGAAAGATCAGATTCAATCTCTTGCCCTGTAAGTCTCGTCTATTGATGAACTCTTTTATATTGTGCATTTTGTTACTTTTTTTTTTAATATCAATCTACCCTGCCATTTGTTTACTTGTTGCCTTAATTTGTCCTGAGATCAGTGTAAAGCCAAAAAGGAAAAGGAGAGAGCGATTTAAGGAGGAGGAGACACTTGCAGTCGAAAATGGCAACTGTAATGGTGTCCTTGGAGAGAATAAAGATGGTGTCCTTGGAGAGAATAAAGAGCAGGAGGCTGTTGTAAAGTCTGATAAGATGGACCCTGATCTTCATCTGAGAAATAAAACTTACCAGGGCCCATCTAATGCGTAAGAAACCTTATTGTTTGTTCTGTTCACGCTATCAATGCATGCACGCGTTTTTCACTCATATGTTGCATAGGTGCACAAATATCTATTCTTTATATTGGCAATTCTTATTGTTGACCTCAATAGTGTTCTTACTGTATTAATTCAAGCAGGGTAGTTGATGGTGATTGTTCAGTGCCTCCTGCTGAAATGAGCTCAGAAAATTGTCGGAAGTCAAAGAAGCAAAGGAAGGAAATTGGGTTGGAAGGGTCAAAAGTTGAAGGCAATGGTGCAAGTTATGACAATAATTCTAATGGTGTTGAATTCAAGCTAGATATTGCAAAAACTGTTGGCATGTCTAAGGATTTGCAAGCAACAAATGGAAAAAATAAGGAACCTACTGTTTATAAGTAAATATCTCAGCTTTTTCTAGCTTCAAGTTCTTGCATTTTACTTTGATATTATCAAAAGTGTTTCATGGCACCCATTCCCAGTTGCTCTATATTCTTTACTTTCAAATTTCTTTCTTTTTATTTACGTGTCTGATGTCTCTGAGAGTGTGCTGGGGTGAAGGCAATCCTGCAGCTTCTGCCTGGAACATTTATTTCTTTAAAGTAAAAAAACTTGAAATAACCTTAAAGTTGCAACGAGCTAATTTAAGAGCATGTTTGGCTTAGTGTAACAGTGAAAAAAAATAAGCCCATAATAGCTGGCTTCTACAAATAAACACAAAGCCAACCATAATCCAACTCGTTCTGAAATGCTATAAGCAACTAACTTTTATGAATTGTTCTCCATTTTTGCCTGCATCATGAGGTTCCCCTATCCCCCATCCCTTCTCCCAACGGCAAATGAATGACCTGTTTAGGATTTTGCCCTTACGGTTTCTGGATTTTACATTACCATTATTTTAAAGCCTGATTTTCAATGTGCAGAGATATCGGCATAAACTCTCACTTAGTAGGAAGTCAATCTGAGAAGAAACTTGAAGGGAAGCAGAAGAAGAAAAACAAAAACAAAAACAAAAGCCCGAGGGATGGTGACTCAAACATTGGCACGCTTGAGATAAATGCAAATGAGGAGAATACATTCATGAAACGAGAGGATTGGAGTGCAAATGTTGAATCATCTCAGCAGAGGACTTTATCTAGTGGATTGAAAATTGAAGAGGTGGCAAAGGGAGAACCAGGTGGAAAAATAGCTGCTCCTGGGAAAAAGGTATGTGTAAACCAACTCAAAGATTATCATCTTTGAACTGTTATTGGTTTATGTATGCATCAAGTTTGAATCTGATATATTGATGAACAAGTTACTGATTATCATTGGCTAAGTAAACCTCTCTTCAGGTTACAGTTTATTATAATGCTATGTTAAAGGATAGTGGGCACATTTTTGACTCAAATTTTGGCAAAACTCCGTATAAATTTCGACTAGGTACTTTATCTCTGGCTCTGTAAACCCCTCCCCCCCCAACCAAAATATGTGTGTGTGTGTGTGTGTGTAAAATAAAATAGAAAACACTTGCTGGTTAAAATTTATGATCCTCGGNTTTTTTTTTTTCCTAATCTTCTAATTCTAAACTGAAGTATCTCAAGATCTTACTTATGTCACTAGTTTAATGGTTTTAGACTTAAGCTTAAAATGTCAACTTATGAAAAATAACTCAAGTTTTAAACTTACTTTTTGTGCCCCTGTTTGAGCAACTTATTTTCTACCAAACATACTCTCAATAAGAGTTTTGCATGTTTTCCCTGCTTTTTAACCACAACACATTCTGGGGGAAAAAAATCACTTTTTACAAAATTTATTCTCAAAAAATGGGGTTCATATGGGGGTTCAATGATCAAAATTGAAAATAAGCAAGTTACTTAATTTTGACAGGAATATGGAAGATATAATTACAAAACAATAAACTTTTTCCACTTAAAAAGTAACAAAAAGTTAAAACTATCTGAACGTATTTGGAAATCTTAATTCATTGATTACACATTTACGATCTACTTTTTTCGCTCAGAAGTAACAAAAAGTTAAACTATCTTAACATGTTCGGAAATCTTAATTCATTAATTGCACATTATTTGTTTATTTTTATATTTATCTGTTTACTTATTATTATAATTTTTTTTTTTATTTCTTTTTTGGTGGTACAGGTATGGGAATGCAGCATTTGGGGAGAATATTCCACCTAACTCATGGCTAGTATATGAAGTTGAATTGGTTGCTGTTCGTAGATAACCTGGCTTGTTTATATCTACCTTTGAAGGTTCCCTGTGTTCGAATTTTTGCCTGGATGTCCCGAAAGAAACGAGGATCAAGAGAAACTGGTATTTTTGCTTTGTTTGTTTTACCAGGGAAGTGTTTTCTTACTTGAGTAGGCAGAGAGCTCTTCTAAAGAAGGGATAATTTTTGTTTGTCAACATACACTGGGGAACTTCTTGTAAGCATCCTAGTGTCGTCTCACCTTAAAAGTTCAACACTGCACCCATGCTTTGTTGATGGGACAATTTTGCAATGTGGTTATAAACCCTTGTGAGGATTTTGCATAATTTCAGTAGTGGGGACAATATAATCCTTACCTAAGGGCCCAATTCATTTGAGACCCTGCGATCCGCATACGCCTCGAAAATACTATGAGGTGCTCGGAAATTAATTTGGATTTCGATGAACCAATCCAACTGGTAGGGTTTTAGATTTCTATGAAGGAAAAGGAAACCTTGTTACAGCATTACCTCCATTATACCCTTCTTCTAGCTTTGTTCTTGTGCGTGTGGGTTGACGTGGGGTGGTGCCGGCTTTCGTAACTATGTTCTCGTGGGTTTTTACACGAGTTATT